CCCAGCCCTGTAAATCATTGCTGATCCTGGACAGACACCGGGAACACATGGGAGATTTGTTCCTTAACTCCATCAGTGGATCGGGGACCCTACCAGCAGTGATTCCTGGAGGCTGCTCCTTCCGTCTTCAACCCCTGGAGATTTGTGTGAAGCCGGTTCTGCAGCGCTTCCTGCTGTCACGCTGGGCCGAGTTCACAGCTGGAAACCCGAAGGAGCTGGAGGAAATGTCACCCCAACTGCTCCAAGCTAGTGTCGCCCAGCTGCTAGTTGACTGGGTGGTCGAGGCCCTGACGCACCTGAACCAGCTCCCAGAGCTTTGGAAGAAGTCTTTCCACCTGACGGGCCTTCTGCCCGAGCGAAATGAGGAGGTGGAGAAGACAACGAGTCAGAAACCAGAGGAGATCCAGTCGGACCTCCTCAAGAGCCTGACAGAGACCCTGCTGGGGGCCGAAGCTTTGGAGGCTGATTCTCCTGAGCTGCTGGAGCTGGAAGACACAGAGGAGGAACAAGAAGGAGGAGAAGGACAGGACACATCAGAGGAGAGACAGGAAGGCAAAGAAGGGAAGGAGGTGAAAGAAGATAGGGAAGAGATAGGGACAGAGATGAGGGAGGACAAGGAGATGGAGGAGGGAAGGAAGGAAACAAGGGAGGAAGGTAGGCCAGAGGAAACTGAAGAGGAAGGAATGGACACAATCGAAGGTAGGGAAGACAGGAAGGAGACAAACAGGGACAGGAAAGATGAGGTTAAGCAGCTAGAGGAGGACAGTGAGGAGGAAGGAAAGGTGACCGTTGAGGACAGGAAGGAGGTGAGCAAGGAGAGACGAGAGACCAGGATAGTGATAGGAGAGGAAGTCGGCGATGAGTGGAAGATAACGGTGAAGAGCAGGACCGAAGGCATGGAGGCGGACAGGGAGGACGACGACAGGATGGACCAAAGCTGAACAGACGGTGAAGACGTGGATAAAGGTCCGCACCCCGAAAACACCTGACTGAGGCGGGACAGGAAGTAGAAACCAGCCCAGCCTAGAGTCAGAGACTAACACCTGTCAGTCAGATGTGCTGTCCTGTTTGTACTTTCTGATCCAGTCCAGAAACCGTGGACCAGAATCCTGAAGGGGAAACGGAGACATTCAGAGTCGGCCCTCAGACTGAGAGTTGAAGCTCAGTGAACGTGTAAAATCTGTACAGGTTTTGTATTCGTAGAGACAAGTTTTCTTTTCACACTTGTTCGGATTTTTCAGACTGAGTCAGGAACTTGATGTAAAAGCCCTGATGGATCCGCTGAGTTACAGAGGCGGGGTTCGCTTCTGTTTTCTGCCTGAACGATCTTTGGAGACATCATGTTTCTGTCAATCATGTTGGATGAAGTCTGGAACAAGACGTCTCTGAAGAGTCTTGTGGTGTTTCTGCCTCTCCAGATCGGCCAGTCAGCTTCCACCAACAGCCAGGGGTTTCCCATGACTGCTAAAGAGATCTAGAAGGGAAACATTCTCCGGTCTTCGATGTAAAACCGCTGAGTTACGGAGGCGGCGTTCGGTTCGGATGAAGGAGTTGGTTATGGGTCTGTTTGAGCTCAGTGCAGATAAGTGTGATAGTAGTTGTGCGCAGCGCTCAGCAGCGCTATAAATGAACGTAATTTTCTTACCAGGACATAAAACGGAAAATCTGAGTTTGTTGACATTTTTATTTGACTCATTGTTTTCAGAAAGCTGCAGATAGATTTTCTTTGATCATTTAATTGACTAATAAAACATGCAGAGTGTTGTGTGAGTCCTGGAAGCTGATTGGCTGGTCTGGATCGGTACAGGAGTTCATCCTGTCATGTGACCCGGACCTGAACAGACGATGCCGAATGATGGAGGTGTTTCCTGTTTATGTTTATTTCTCTGCAAATCATGTTTGATTGGATGTTTTTTGTGTCCATCAGGTAAATGATGATCATGATGTTTGGTTTGTCTGTTCAGTCGGATCCTGACTGCAGGTGTTGTTGTCTTGGTGCTGATGTACAGAAAACTGTAGACGCTCTTCCTCCTAAATAAAAGACAAAACATCTTCAGTCTGATATCCTTTTCTTTGGTTTTGGTTTAACAGCAGGTAATTATCCAAAGACATTAATGTCTCACCCAGAGAGAAGAGGTAACACTTACACAACTGCTGCAGCCAAAACAGATCCAGCCCTGCATGCAGCTGCAGCCCTGTGTGGATGCATGCAGTGGAAATCCAGACGGTTGGAGTAAGTTTCAGTGGGTTTGTTTTGTTTCTTACTGACCTGATGAATTAAGCCAAGTTTAAAAAAAACCTTCATTGAACCTCTGTATCTAAACGCCAAAAATTATATTCATATCATGTTACCCGTAAAAAAGAACTGAGCGAGGTAGACAATCTCAATATAAAACAAGATGGTCATTCAGGAATTAGATCATGGGTATTAATAGAAACGTAGGGCTTTTATACACTTATATGGTACTATATATTTAGAAAGGCATTAAATATGGCAGTGTCGTAAGAAATCAACGTTTGTGCTTAAATAAATATAATCAGATTATTTATTACAATTTTTTTTTTTGTTCTGTATAAAGTGGAATATTTCATTTTTTGTAAATGATCCAATTCTGGAAAGCATCCCAAAATGTTTGAGTCAGGAAAAGAAGAGATGTTCCAAGGTTTCGATGTCCGAGTTATAGAAAGTAGAAATATTCTAGGCCAGATTAAATCTGTAAATCTATCTTTACTGTAAAGCTGGAATGGAGAGGCAGCTGCTTCTTATCTTCATTAAACTACTGCTGGAAGATTTCTGGAAGATATTTTTTCTCTTGAGCAGTGAGGTGAGGTGTAGGGACAAGTGGCCCCCTGCAAGGAAACCCCGCTCTTTAGGGTCACCATCTCCAGGTGCTCTTAGCGCATTATGACTTCAGGTAGTACTCCGAGAAAAGGGCGACCTCTGATAACGAGCTAGTTTCAACACCAGGTACTGGCCTGAGCGTCTGTGTTGAACTTCTAACTCCAGATTCAAAAGTTCCCTGGTCAACCCCTCGTCCTCTCTCGCTTCAGATTCCAGAGAGTCGGGCCCTGAACACATGACCTGGAATGAGCTGTTTGAGTTTGCTGCTGATCCGTAATGAGGTGTTGGTGCAGGCAGCGCGGGTGTGAAAGTAAGTGAATACTAACTTACCAGTCCGGAAGAGGGGGGAAGAAGACGAAGATAATAATGAGACGAAAAACACTTTCTAGTTTTCTAAAGGCGTCCACCCAAAGAGAAACTTTTTCACTATTTTCAACCAGCCCCAAAAAGTTTGCGCACAGCTCTAGGCTCAGCAACTTAAATAAAGAAACAGGCCGGGAGGACCCCTCTGTTTTCTCAAACAGGACTTGATCATCACACTGATTGGGTTTTACATTACTTTTCCTTTTATAGGTCGATGGTGCTTCTGTCTTGTAGTTGCAACACCCTTTTCCCTCAGCTTACAAATGTTTCTCCAAATAAGGTAATAAAACACATCATGCAGGTCTCTTTAACTCATGTTAGTATAATCCTTTAAATGTTTAAATATAATAGGCCACACTTCTCAAACAAACTAAATCTCTTCAATCTTAATGCATGCACAAATCAAAAAATAAGTTTTAAATGCATCACTCCAAATGCAGAATAGATTAAATCAGTTCATGTCATCACTCATTCTGTTGTCCTCGTCTCTTTCTGACTGAGAGAAAGGCCTCCTCTGCTCCTGTAGTTGGCACCATGAAGGTTTGTCTCTTCACAACTGTTGATTAGCAAGACTTCCACTTCCTCTTTCCTGGACATCAGCGTCTAATCTGCAGAGACACATTCAAATATAAAACCGTACTTAACTTTTGCAATCTGAGCTGAGCAGTCAACACTTATCAGTCTTAGAACAGGCCGTCTGAGTTAAAGTACAGGCGAGTTGTTTTACTGTACTGTGCAGTCAAACAGTATCTATGAAGGCCCCCAAGAAGCAGAACCAGTTGCTTCCAGTGCCCTTTTCTTCACATTTATCTCATTCTCCCAACAGAGGACAGTTCTTAAAAATGTATTATTACATTTCTTTAATCTTAAAAAGGTGGAACCAAAGAGTACATTAGCAAACAGAAGGCGGCTTGTTTAAAGGCTCGTGAAGCTGTGAGGTCATCAGTGTTTAATCTGCTCTCAGAAACAGCAGCATAAAGCAGGAAGGTCAGGAAGCCGCAGACTAAAAACACAACCAGAAAAATGCAAAGAAAAGAGACAAACTGGAGTTTCTTTAAAAATAGAGAGAAGAAAGAATTAGATGTTTATATATAAAACACAGTGAGTCATGTTTGAAAATCACATTTGAATCTTCAGAATTAAATATATTCATATATAAAGGCACATATCTGATAGAGAACACAAAATTAAATGCTCAAAGTTCAACATGTACCTCATATACAGTATATTTATTAAGGCTGGTGTATGAAGTGACCTGAACGGGTTTCTGTGTTAACTGACGAATGAAAATGCTGTGAGAAAAGTTCATTTGCACAAGAAGAAAACATGTGAGACAGTTTAAATATAGAAGAAACAAATGTGCATTGTCCAAAAGAAGGAACTTAAGCTAAAATACAAGCTGCTGCTGCTCGCTGCATTATATTCTGTCATATCTTTGATTTCTGAATTGCCACCTGCCTCCATAAAGTGGTGCAGAAGATTTCTCCTGACTGCAGGTATGTAAAACAAAGTCTCTTCCTGGAGACTAACTATAAACCAAGCCCTCACTCTAAACTGTAATGATTGATGTTTTAGGGATTTACCAAACGCTCGCACGCTGACGGCGGTGAGCTTTGGACTGTGGAAAAGGGTTTTTGGGAAAAGGTGTGAACATTTTATGACTTTATGATGTTTGACAGTTAAGCGGCCTCTGGGCCTGAGAGGGTTAATGTGCAAGCCTGTGAGCCCCCCTTCTGTTCTCTGATTGGCTGTGTCCCAGTATTGTACAAGTTTAACTCCACCCTCTTGGTTTTGTTCACAGGTCCTGGTCTGAGAGAGTCCAGACCTGCAGGATCTGAGAGGCTCAGACATGGGTGAGTAAATAATTCACAGCTGCCACTCATCTGCCGCTTCTGTTTGTGTCAGCTGCTTAAATTCCTCAGTTTTACTCCTGAAGTCTGGTTGGAGCAGAGCTGCAGGTCTGTTTTCTGTCCTTCTCTCTGCAGAGCTCAGCTGCAGGTTGTTGCATCAGGCTCAACGTTTCTTTCTGTCCTTTACTGATCAGGTTTCCTGAAAGGAAATCTGAAATTCACTGCAAGAAAAGCTCCATTTGAACCAAACGGCTCAGTTTGGTCTGAGATTACTGGAAACTTTGTTACTCCTGTGCTCAGGGACCCGTCTGAAAACTTATTATTTATAAGGAACTTTATTTAGAAGCCACACGCTGCTTCACTCAGTAGACCAGAGATTAAAACAATTACAGGAAAACAGACTGATGTCCAAAAAAATATGACATAAATTCTGTCATTTAGGAGTTTCAGGAATCATTAACTTTTTACCTTCTGTCTCCTCGTTGGTTCAAAGACACTTTGACACGAACACTTCTGATTTTTCTGACATTTAATAAACAAAACAACAGATAAATAATAATCTATAATGTCCAGGGTGTCAGAGTGTGAAACAGGAAAACGTTTTTGTTTGAAATGTAAATTTAACTGATAATGAATCGTTGGTTGAAAACGTGTTCAGCTGCAGAAAAAGCAGCAGCCTGTTCCTTTAAGTGTGTGTGTGTGTGTGTGTGTGTGTTGCATAACGCTGGTGTTGTTTCTGAGCTGTATGAGCTCACGGTCCTGATAACTGTCTGTATGAAGGAACTTCTTTTCTCTCCTCGTGCTTTCACATCGTCTCAGTTTGTTGTAGTTTATTATAAAATGATATATTTTATTGTCCCTCAGGGGAAATTGGTTTTGGGCTCGTTGTGATGCTTCATACACAACAAACTAATTTACAGACATCTGAAACCACATTGTACCCATCCTGCCCTCCTAACAGCACGTTGCAAACACACTGTTGTAGGTCTGTAACAGGCTTTTATTGAGAAGGCTGATGGAAACGAACACTAACCGTTTTAAAACCAGTCTGACTGCATCTTCTGTCTGACGGTAAGGGCTCGTACTCAGAGTGAAGGACTTCAGATGGATCATCTAGAACTCTCTGAAGGAGTCTGCTCATCCCGACCCGTTGTTGTCACGGCCGTCTTTGTGAGTGGAGCCAGTTTAGAGTTAGACTGCACACATGGATCCCCACACCGGACTTTCCAATAGAACACACGCTGTTAGACATTTCAAGTTTAACTTATTATTATCTAAACTTAAAGATCGCCTTTTGATCGAACTACAGAGCTCTAGTTGTCTCAATGTTGTTTTTTTAGTAGATTGAAATTGATGAGATTGAAACTTGTTCCAACTTCATTCTTTGAGAAATCATTAATTGACTCCATCAATGCAATCAATTCCCTTAAACTTGTCTAACTGACGTACATTTCTGCTTCATTCTAACTCTCAGTTTCAAGTTAAAACAACTTGACTACATTTATGCGACTTTCCATTTGAAGGTTAGAGGATTTAAAATCTAGATCTGTTTCAGTTTACATGGAAAAGGCTGTTCAGGTTCCTTTCTTTGTTCACCACAGCAGTGTTTACATTTTAGTTGGAATTTGAATATATGACTTATCTGCAACGTATAACTAGCAGGGATGAGCGAGTTCACCACTATCTGGATCTGATCAACTAATTAAATTATCTGTACTCGGAGTGGGCGGGGCTTAACCTGGAAATTGGTACAGGTTAATCAGAGGTAGCTATATTTATTAGAAAACTATTTACAGAACAGATTACAATAGTAAGAATTTTTTTAAAAAGGTACCTGTATTTATAGTTTATTAAAAAAACAGATACTGACACATTTTACTCTGATGATATTCTTACTTGTAAAAAGTACCAGATACTCGTTTAATCGATGACTCGCTCAACCCTAATGATTAGTTGATTATGTCCATGTTTCAACTTTGCCCTTGTTTAAAGAACACAGTTTCTCTCAAAATCAAAAGAGTTGGCTATTATTTTTCTCTTGCTCCCCCGCACACCCTGATCAACCAATAACTAACATACCCAAGTTCAATCAACACATACAGATCTGACAAAAGTCCCGAACACCCCTACATGCTGACAGAGAGGCCTTGAGGGGCGTCTTTGAGAAGATGAGTCGGGGTGAGAGGGGCGTCTTTGATTAGATGAGTCGGGGTGAGAGCGGCTTTTCTTGTCAAGTAAAGCTGTTTCAGGCATTTGTGAATGGCTGCAGTGTTAGACTGATCAACGGGTCTGATAGAGCTGTGTGTCATCGGCGTAACATTGAAACTAGACGTATTTGTGGATGATCTTACCGAGGGGAAGCCTATAGATGGAGAATAGGGTGGGACCTAGAATTGATCCCTGAGGGACACCATACAGCATGTTTGTGGGGGATGAAACTGAAACGCCTGTTAGATACTGTAGGTGAGATCGGAACCAGTTTAAGGCGACGTCAGTGATTCCTGCCCACCTTTACAGTCTACTGATGAGCACGCTGATGTTAGCACAGCGCTGCTAGCATAGCATGGCTGTAGACTCATCTGGACGTTTATTAAAATGCTTCTGCGTGATTCCCAGAATGCATCAATTTGAAAAATAAACGGTGAACATTTGGACTAAAGAGCTGCTGGCCCAGTTTCAATAATTTTTGGATCTGTTGTAATTTTGACTTATTATTGAGAGGAGAAGTTTTGGGAAATCAGCCTCTGACCTTTGACATCTGTGACCTCAGTGTTGGGATGGTTTCATGACCTTTCACACGTTGTGTTTTCTCAGCCAGCTGTTCAGGATGTGGACCGGGATACCGCAGCCCGCTGGACGCCATGAAGGGTGAGTCTATATTTAGCTTCCATCAGTTCTTGATAAATGTTTGAGAAATCCTCTTCTTCTCTTCCTCTCTGAAGGTGGATGTTCATTTAGCTTAGCTTAGCATAAAGACTGTAAACAAGGGAAATAGCTGCCCATCTATCAGCACCCGTAAAGCTCTCTGACGTGTTATATCCCTGTAATCACAAGCACAAAAACAGAAGCATAAAAATAACAGTTCTTGCAGCTCCCAGCCAAGGAGGCGCATGGACACCGCTTGGTTTGTTAGTTCACCCTTCCAACAGCCGGGAGCACTAACAAACCAAGAGGTATCCATCATCTATTGGATGAGAGACGAAACGTCTTCGATTATCTTCAACCAGGTCCTTGATTTTAACCTTCCGATGGAGTTTGAATTGTTGTTCTTATTGAAGGTCCTCGGGAAGAGATCGTCTATCTGCCCTGCATCTACCGCAACACTGACACCCTAAAACCCGACTACCTTGCCACTGTTGACGTCGACCCGAAATCCTCCACCTACTGCCAGGTAGGTACTGCCGCCGGGTCCTCCGGTCGACCTTCTTCTGCTCAAGTTTGTCGTTTTGTCACCTTTAAGTCTAAATGAATTAGTGAAGCTTGTTGAAAGGTAGCATCGGTTCATTATGGTCTTTGTTCTCTCAGCAGCGCTCTCCTCCTGCTGGATTAGCTTCCTCTTCCTCCTCCTTCAGGTTTTTCTGTCTCTAACCTGCAGGATTGTTTTCTTGAACCCCTTTGAATAAATAAAATGCATAAATTCTTTTGTATGAATCAAAGCCTTTAACCTGTCTACTTTGACCCGTTGTGACCTTTGACCTCTGCCTTCGCAGGTCATCCACCGGCTGCCGATGCCGAACCTTCGTGACGAGCTGCATCACTCCGGCTGGAACGCCTGCAGCAGCTGCTTTGGCGACGCCTCCAAGAAAAGAAACCGTCTGATTCTCCCGTCGCTCATCTCCTCCAGAGTCTACGTGGTCGACGTCGGGACGAATCCCCGAGCACCGCAAATACACAAGGTACAAGCAGCAACGCCGCCACATCAGTATTTAAAGCCTTCTAACTCCAGATCTGTTAATATGAATCCCAGCCCGACCAGGCCTAGTTCCCCAGCCGTGTCTCACTGAGACTCTCTGGCAGGTAAAGCACATACTGGGTAATTTAGCGTCCTCAGTCGTTTATCAATTATAAATCATCCTTAAAACATCATGTTCATCACTCTCTAATACATCTTACACATTCTGTAGAGCTGATTTTATCATAACACGTCGCACGTTGGTCTTTGCTGGCAGGAGGTTCAGTTCCTGTCAGTCTTCAGATGCAGGGTCCGGTGGTCCATCACGTCTCCAGGTGTTCAAACCAAACGTCGTCTTCTATCGTTCTAAAGTTTAAATTTATTCATTTAGCTGACAGCTAAATTACAGCCGCTACAAGTCCGAGGTCACACGCCTCTGGAGCAACGAAGGGTTAAGGGTCTGCTCAGGGACACGTTGTGTCTCACAGTGGATTCAAACCCGGGTCTCACACACACAAGGCATGTGTCTAATCCACTGCACCATCTCCATTATTATCACCATTGTTATTTTAACAAAGCACGTCCAGTACATTTCCAAATAATGATCACAGTATAGAATAAAACAACACTTTGATTTAGCAATGGTGTACTGTGGTGTACTTAGATGTACTTCCTCTCAGATTAAAGAGTAATACCAAACGTAAATCTCCATTCCTACCGTCAGTCCTGAAGCTTCATCATCATAATGCTGATTAAGCAATGCCTTTGAGCTGCACAGCAACACAAGTTTAGAAGATGACTTTAGCAATTTATCTCATGAGATTATTCCCTAAAAGGTAAAAGTAAAGAAATAAAATGAAGAATAATCGTTGTTATATTTTTGAAACACAGTTAAACACAAATACTTCTTACATTATATACTTTATATGCTAAATTTGTGATACATACTCGTCTTTGCAGTATATTCAAACATTAGGATACTCAATTAAGGTTAATTTTGTTTTTTAGCAGTTTCATATTTGTGGAGACACAACATCTGGTGCACCCCAATCTTGGCAGGTTGAACTTGCAGACTGGAGTAATGCTAATGACTAGCCGCCTGAACGCTAGCCTCTGAGTCTTCAGGTGACTCCAAAACGTGCTCCAGAAGTCCACAAGGCTTCCATTCAAGTCTGTGGAATCTGTAATGGCAATCTTTAATCCAGCCTTTTGAAACTCCTCCAGCAACGATGTAGTTTCAGTCAATAATGGTCAGATTGGACTGGCCAGGCATAAACACAGAGAACAGGGATTTAGAGCCAATAGCGAGAAGCTAGACGGAGGACAACAAGTTCAGAGTCTGTTGAAGGAAACAGATGAGTAAGTTACACTGTGGGCGAGACGTGCAGTCCATGAGACGCACAGTGATCCAGATACAGCAAAACCTACTGCCGAGTGTAGAGTAATCCACAGTCCAAAGAAAAGCCCACAACGAGCAAACTGTGACCTCTGAAGGAGGTCCAGAGACGAACAGAAGACGGGAGACATGAGAGACATTAAAGCTCAACAAAGACATCCGACAAGGACCAGTGGGACATAGTCCAGGTAATTCCACAACGGGGAGGACACAGACAGGAAACAAAGATAAGACAGAGAGGTAACCTTACAAAATGTAACAGAAACTAACCCAAAAATACCACGACAGTATTTATATATTTCATCTTATACTTTGGAACTGTGTTTTACAAAAGTAATTTAAAAATACAAAGTATTATTAAACTGCTTTAGCTTAACGTTAGCAGAGAATGGGAGGTTCAAAGGAGCCCACAGCTCATTATGTCCTGGGGCCTCATCAGGGGCGGAGCCAGACGTTGCAAACATTCGGGGCTTAGCCCAAACCTAGGGGGGCCCGGGGGCCATGCACCCCGGGAGATTTATTTCCCATTAAGCCATTTTTTCCTGCTGTTTGAGATGACAGACTGCCTACAAATCTAAACACTATCTGGGGAAAAAAATGAACGTTGCTTTGGAAAATAATCGTCCTGTAGAGCCTTCAGTCTATTTTTGATTTAATAGTTTTCCAGCTGGAGTTTATTCAAAACACAACAAATGTTGAAGATCACTCATTTTCACTCCTGGTGACTAAAAAGAGACAAAACTTATCTGATGTTCCTGTTTTAAGTTATATATGGAAATATGGTGTAACAGTTTCTGATGATCTGTGGAGGCGGGAACCTCTCAGCTCCTCATGACTCCATTTGACTACGATTCAGAGGTCTGTGGTGTGATTATAAAACAATTATCGAATCTTCAAATCTTTTTTTTCCATATGATTTCTGGATAATTACTGAGCATTTCATTTGCACATTAAAATCCAAAACAAAACGTCTCCTCATCAGCTTTAAAGGACTAGTTTTCATCCCTAATTTACTTTACGGATTTCAGCTCCTTCATGGTCACCGCTGTCCTCCTCTCACCCTACTGATCAGAAACTCATCAGATCATCATAATGATGCAAAAAATATTAAAGGCATATTTTATTCTCTGACATTACTCATCTTCTATTCACTCCTTTCTTCTAAACACATTTTCATCTCTTGTCCCTCTTCCATTTCACCTGCTTTCACTTTTAATTTCTTCTGCAATGTGCAGTTAATCCAGCTGCTGTGACGCCCGTCCTTCCTCTTCCCCAGCCGACTCCTCTGTGGGAACAAACTGTCCCTCAAACACAGTCAGATCAGCTGACATCAGCTAGCGAGTGCGGATGAGCGGATGAAGCATTCAGAAGCTTTGGGGCTTTAAGCTGAGCAAACACAGCTGCATCTGGTGACCTGTAAAACCTTGAGCCTGACGCTGAAACGCCACCATGACTCACTGAAACTAATAACTTTAGTCTCATGTGTGCAATAAAAGTCAAAAAGGGTTAACTCTAAACTGATGGTTGACATTTATGAGATTCAGACATGTGATGTGATTGGACAGTGATATTCATTAACTAGCCTATTATTACTTTTGTTCCATCAGTACAGGAGCATCTCAAATCTAAAAACAATTTCAATATGGTGGAAAAGGTAATTGTGAGCACCAGAACCAGACTGAGAGATTAAGACACTTTTGCAGGTGTTTTCAGTTAATTAGCTAATCAGAGCTCTTTTCAGGTCGACATTTCTCTATAATAAATAACTTATTCTGAAATTCTAATACATTTTTGGATACTAGAGTGCTATGAGCTGTGAGCCCTAATCATCAGGATTAAAATGAAAAAAGGCTTGAAATGTTTATAAGATTAGTTTTTGAATTAAAAGAAAATGAACTTTTCCACGATTATTTTAGTTGGTATATTTGTCATCAGGAGGAAATGTCCTCATACTCTCTCATGTCTTTCTAATCTTTATCGCTATATTTCTCAACTATTCTCTCTTCTTATCCCACTAATGTGCTGAGATCAGCTGTAAAACGCCCTGTGGTGATCATGTTGGCTTCACAGGAGGGAAACGAGCCTCTGAATCAGCCGCACATCTCTAATAGAGAGATAATATCACCTGATAACATCTAACTAGCCAGAAATACCGTCACTGAACTCAAGCGTTAGAGCTGCGGACTCACAAACCTGAAACACTTGTTCACTGTGTGACGCAGCTTCTTTCTGTGATTGGCCGCTGAGGTTTACCTCTCCGCATAAAAACTTTGTCCATACCATCAGCTGGTTAGTTAGCTCGCACGCTCGCTCACTGAGGGGGGCGCCAGTGAAACAACATGAAGAAGAGTTCTATTGTTCTTCTTCTTTAGTGTTTATTAGCGCTCGGCAAACCGGCTGAATGATGCGTTACCGTCACCATGGTAACAGAGCTGTTGAAACAAAGTTGAACTTATTTTAAAAATGCCCCCCCCCCCCCCTTCAGAGGAGACAGCAGAGAAACCAAAACTAGACAAGTGGAAGACAAACCGGTCCTGTTGTTCGGGGGGGGGGGGGTCATGCTGAGTTCAGACCGCATGATAAACACTCTCACAGCTGCTCTTTTAAAGTGTTTTGAAGAGACTGGATTTGTTGTTGGTGATGTGGGAAATGAAAAATGTTGCCGTGTTGCGTCAGTCTGCTGAGTAAATGTGTAATCATTAAACAGTCCGAGACTTTAATAAACAACTGAAGAGGCGATACAGGAGGGGAGCTGCTCGGGTCCTCTAGTAGTTCAGACTGGGGGGGTTTAAGGTCACGGGACTGGAAACTAGGGAAACCCAGAAATGGAGGATGGTTCCCTTCAGGTTGGGAGGAAGTCACTGCCCCAAGAATCAAGTCAAGAATGTTGTTCTGGACTATCTTCGCACAGAGGGAGCTATCCTGAAGCTGAAGCTCTGGATCCACCAGTGGATCTCTATTCCAGTCCTCAGCTGTGGTCCTGGGGCCTCAACACAGGAACTTCCTGTCTGAAATCTTACTTCAGTTTAGGACAACATTTAGGATCTGCGGTGTCCCAGAAACATGTTTCCTGACTGCATTAGCAAGAAACCCTGTCTTATCTTAGGAAATCCATTCGGCTGCAAAGGACTGAAGCCTTTCCCAGGTTTCTCACTGTATTGATGCTGTGTGGTGTTCCTCAAATGTAGGTCACTTTAGATAAAAGTGTCTGCCAAACGAGTAAATGTAAGTTAGGACGGCACAGACGTCCCGCATTCGATAGCTGCCAAACATTTGGAAGAAAACTTCCCAAAAAGGTTTCCTCTTCTCCACCACATGGAGAATGTTTCCGACTCTTCACACCTAAAACTGAACACCAGTGTCTTCTGTCCGTTATAGCTGCTAGCCAGCCAGTGACGGGTGAAGTGAAACAGTCGTTGTTATGGATACTGGTTTGCGTTCTAAACCCAGATACAGAACTGGCGGGACGAGTGCTGAGCGAAGAATCCAGTTTACAGCTCTAGTTATGATATCAGGCTCGAGGTCTGAGACAGGAAGGACACAGTCATGAGTTCAGGAACTTTCAGATTGGATTTTGCCTGTCAAGTTCAGATAGGACATGTTTCTGTAATGAGGCTTCTGGTCTCTGGGTAGTGACCAAAAGAATACGATTGTGGATCCAAGTAGCTCAAAAGAGTTTCCTTGTTCAGGGTGTCTGGCCTCCAAGGACCTCAGATATCCGTCTTCCTGGACACCTTCTGGTCGACATATACTAGACAGGTCCAAGTGGGAGGAAACCCTGGGTAGACCAGCAACAAACTGAAGGTATTCAGGCTGGGGAAGTCCTCCAGAAAGATGGGCTGGACATCTGGTCTACCTTGACCCAGTCCTCAGTCAGTCCATCAGCGTTCTAGATCCCTATCCAAGGAAAACTCCAATCAGTAACAGTGCTGGATTAATATTCTAGAAAGCCTTAAATCAGTATTACAGGATTCTAGGAGTTTTACTTTCTGATATATCTGATCATTACCCAATAATGCTGTTCTTTAATTTTGATTATAAATGTTTACCCTTATGTCACCCGATAAAAATTAAAGTAGTAAACGATCGAACAATGTATCAACTTAAGGCAAGTCTGCAAGCTAAAACATGGGACATTGTTTATTGTTGCTGCAATCCTGATACTGCATATGATTTCTTGGTAAATGAAATAACAGACTCCATTCGCTGCTCCATTCCTATAAAAACTGTTACAAGCAGAAGGGCAGAACACAAACCCTGGCTAACAAGGGCAATCTCTAACTCCCTTAAACAAAAGAATACACTTTACCAAAGATATGTTAATAAACCAAATATAGAGAACAAAACTAAATACAATGTTTACAAGAATAAATTGGTATATATATAATCAGGAAAAGCAAATATAATCACTACTCTGAATTGATTAAAAACCTCGCAGGGAGACTCTAAGTAATCATGGAAAGTGTTGAATAATGTTTTGAATAGGGACCATAAAGATACCGTGCTCCCTGATACAACAAATAATACTGATCTTGCAAATGAATTTAATAATTACTTTGTATCAACAGGGGCAAATCTCTCAAAAAACATTACTCAACCACACAGTGTCTCTTACCAACAATATATGTCAGGCAATTATCCAAACTCCTTCTTCCTAAAGCCTACTGATGCCATTGAATTGTATAATATCATAATGGCTCTGAAGAGCTCAAATTCTGCAGGAGAAGATTAAATTAGCAGTAAAATATTAAAGTATTGCCAAAGAAATAATTGAACCACTTACACATTGTATTAATCTCTCACTGCTTACAGGAACTGTTCCCAAAATGACAAAAATTGCAAAAATAATTCCGATTTTCAAAGCTGGTGATAAAAATGACATCATAAATTATCGTCCCATATCAATTTTACCAACTCTTTCCAAAATATTGGAAAGAGTGGTTTATAATAGACTTATTAATTATCTTAATACACTGAACATACTTAACCCATCCCAGTATGGCTTTAGGAAAAAAACACACCACCTGTATGGCTATCCTTGACCTTACTGAAAAGATCAATGATGCCATTGAAAAGGGGGAATATGGTATCGGTATATTCCTAGACCTTTCAAAGGCCTTTGATACCATCGACTTTACCATATTACTGTATAAATTGCACCATTATGGAATCAGAGGTCAACCACTGAATTGGTTCAAGAGTTATTTACACCAGAGGCAACAATATGTAACTATTCACAAACAGAGATCAGAAAACAAACACATTCAATGTGGTGTTCCACAAGGATCCATATTAGGTCCTCTCCACTTTATTATTTACATTAATGATCTGGAAAATTCCTCAAAGACCCTTCATAAAGTAATCTTTGCAGATGACACTAACCTGTTTCTATCACACAAAAATGAATTTGAACTTCAGAAACTACTTAACAAAGAACTTCAGAATGTGGATAACTGGTTCAAAGTAAATAAACTATCTATAAATACCAGCAAAACAAACTATATAATATTCTGTCCAAACAAAAAACAACTTGATTACGATGATCTAAATTTTCAAATTAAAATAAAGGGAGAGGAAATAAAGAGAGTGAAGACGACTAAATTTTTGGGTGTCTTTATAGATGATCACCTAAATTTTAAACACCATATTGAATATCTTGTCAAAAAGCTATCAAAATATGTTGGTCTGTTCTTTAAGCTTAGACATCTGCTTCCTCAAGCAATACTACTTACTCTTTATAAAACACTCTTTGAACCCCATTTAAACTATTGCAATATTATTTGGTGCAATACTTCTCATACTTACTTAAAAAAATTAGAAATTCTACAAAAAAAAGTCATTTGTGCCATATCATGGTCTGATTTCAATGCTCCAACTCGTTCTATCTTTCTTGGGTACGGTATTTTAAGACTAAATGAATACAATATATTTCACAATGCATGTACTATGTATCAGGTGGTCTCTGGTCTGAATAGCAGTTTGTGTGAGCTTGTTCCCATCCGCTGTCCCCAGCACACTCACCTCACTAGATTATTATTGGGAAAAACCGGAGATTAAAAAGCACTGGTGTGAGTGTAGTGTGCCGGGGACTGAGAACTTGGAATGAGCTGGATGACAATCTGAAAAACTCAAGCTCTTTTGTTTCCTTTAAACAAAATCTGAAGAAACAACTATTAAGCTTGTATTCATCTTCTTGATGTATGTACTACCTCATATTCTGAATGTATGTCAGTGTTACTCCTTCAATCTCAAGGTAAACTGTAAAACAAAATTGTACTTGTTAAATGGGATCCCTTAATGTGTTGTGTGAAAGTTATGTATGAAATGTCTTATATGTAGGCCACACATTTTCTTGTTTTTGTTTTTTCTTTCTTTTTTTTGATTGTAATGGCCCCCGAGCATAAGCTTTAGAGGGACCAGTTCACATATATGATCACTTCTTTGTTCTTTGTTATATTGCAAGTGCATATGAATATATGTATGTATATGTGAATAAATAAAACCCTTCTATTGTGGGGGAAAAAAAAAAAAAAAAAAAGAAGAGAAGTAGGTCATTATCCCAGTGAAACTCAGTTCAGTAGGGTTCTAGGTTCTGATCCCAGTAGAACTCGAGTATGTACCACACGGTTCTACGTTCCTACTTCAACAAGACTCAAGATAAGCGGCAGAAGGATGTCTGGGTTCTGTTATTATGAAACACTTTGTAGTTTTGGAAAGTGCTGTTTAAATAAAAGGCACTGACTGTGCTTCTCTAATGAAGGTGAAAAGTTACTGAGCTGTGGTCGTGTTGTTGTCTCTTCAGATAGTGGAGCCTGTCGATCTGTACTGGAAGTGTGGCCTGGCGAACCCTCACACCAGCCACTGTCTGGGCAGCGGTCAGATCATGATCAGCTGTTTAGGAGACCCGTCCGGCAGCGGCAAAGGTGTGACAACCGCAGACTGGATCAGAAATCCTCACATAGACGGAAAACTGTGACGGTTTTATTAGAAACACCCCAAAGTAAAGGAACAGTTTAACACCTGCTGTTGTCCTCTCAGGTGGTTTCGTCCTGCTGGACGGTGAGACGTTCGAGGTGGTCGGTAACTGGGAGCACCCGGGTGAAGCGGCGCCCTTTGGATATGACTTCTGGTACCAACCTCGACACAACGTGATGATCAGCACTGAATGGGGTGCACCCAAAGCTCTGGCTGATGGGTTTAATCCGGCCCATGTCAAAGAAGGTGAGTCTGGAGGAAACATTTCAATCTGTTCCTCCCTGAGTCTCTTTCCTTTAACTCCCTGACCCTCTGGGTATTAGGTTCTGATCTCAGTAAGACTCCAGTTAGTAACACAGGTCTCCAGGTTGTCGTCCCAGTAAGACTTCAGTTGGTACCACTGGGTTACTATGCCAGTACGAATCCAGTCCCTGCCACAATGTTCTAGGTTCTGCTGCCAGTAAGATTCCAGTTGGTACCACAAGGTTTTAGATCCCAGTAAGACTTGAGTCCATAACATAGGGTTCAAGTTTCAGTAACACTCCAGGGTATCCTTAACCAAGCCAAGATTTGAGAACTTCATCAGACTCAGAATCAGAAGTTTTATTGCCTAGAAGTGTTTTACACATACGAGGAATTTGCTTTGGTGATAAGGTGCTACACGTAGACAAACGTACAGATGACATAAATAAATGTAGAAATATATATAAATATGAAAAAGACAATGCAAGTTATATACAAATAAAAAAAAGAATAGAGAGGCTTTGTTGATGAGGCTGCAGATGGGAAGAAGCTGTTTTTGTGGCTGAGTCTGAAAAAGTTTGGCCCAATCCCAATGTCCCCCCTGAGCCCTGAACCCTCACAGACTTTCCTGACGTCACTTGGAAAGTGATTGAGTGCAAGAGGCTGTGAGGGCTCAAAATGCTGTAAACAGGAACAGGACAGCACTTTGCCACTTTATCACGTACATGTAGCACTTTTTATTTTATGTTTTTGTCTGATTTTTAAGTCCTGCAGGCTCTCGCCCTGCAGAGTGGAGGAGAGGTCAATGTCAATATATATTTGTCAATAATCATTACTGCACTATTGTTGGTCAAAACAGCATCATTAAGCAAAAACTAAAATAAATAGTTTGTAATAAAGTTCATCTGACTTCATGTGTTCTATGCAGCATCTTAAGTTAAGAAAACTTTCAACAATTTTAACATCAGCGTTTGTGTCGATGCTTGTTTGTTTACAGTTTTTCTTCTTCTCTTATAACGTGGATTTGCCGTGATTGTTCTCTCGCCTCCAGGCTTCCCCTGGTGTAACCCCCGTGTTTCACGTCATACCGCTATGAACTGTGGGCAATTCCCTCAGCCAAAGTCTGCAGAAATGCAGACTTACGAAAAGGGCTCAAAATGTCCGAGAAAGCCCTCGCGCACTTCACGATTTGATTTGAGTGGGACGGCCCTGAGCCCTCACTGACTTCCCGGGAACACGCCTCAGAGTCTATGAGGGTGGACATTGGGATTGGACCTTTGTGTCCAGGGTGGGAGGAGTTAGCTGCAATCTTTCCTGCTCGCCTCAGAGTCCTGGAGGCGTACAGGTCCAGAAGAGAAGGAAGATTGCAGCCAATCACCTTCTCTGCAGAGCGAATGATGCGCTGCAGCCTGCCCTTGTCCCTGGCAGTGGCAGCAGCGTACCAGATGGTGATGGAGGAGGTGAGGATGGAATCCATGATGGCGGTGTAGAAGTGCACCATCTTTGTCTTTGGCAGGCTGAACTTCTTCAGCTGCCGCGGGAAGTGCATCCTCTGCTGGGCCTTCTTGGTGAGGGAGGTGATGTTCAGCTCCCACTTGAGGTCCTGGGAGATGATGGTGCCCAGGAAGCGGAAGGAGTCCACAGTGGTGACTGGGGAGTCACACGGGATGATGGGGGAGGGTGGGGCTGTGCTCTTCCTGAAGTCCACGACCATCTCCACTGTCTTCAGAGCGTTGAGCTCCAGACTGTTCTGGCTGCACCAGGTCACCAGATGGTTGATCTCCCACCTGTAGGCGAACTTGTCCCCACCTGAGACGAGCCCAATGAGGGTGGTGTCATCCGCAAACTTGAGGAGCTTGACAGACTGGTGACTGGAGGTGCAGCTGTTGGAGAAGTTGGGAAAGAACGCAGCCTTGAGGGGAACCAGTGCTGATGGTCCTGGAATCAGAGACATGTTTTTCCAGCTTCACGTGCTGCTTCCTGTCAGACAGGAAGTCAGTGATCCACCTGCAGGTGGACGTTCAGCTGAGAGAGCTTGTCCTGCAGCAGGGCCGGGATGATGATGTTGAAAGCAGAGCTGAAATCCACAAACAGGATCCTGGCGTAGGTTCCTGGGGAGTCCAGGTGCTGGAGGATGTAGTGAAGGGCCATGTTTACTGCATCATCTACAGACCTGTTTGCTCTGTAGGTGAACTGCAGGGGGTCCATGTGATGCAGTAAGGTAAAAGTAACTCAAGACGTTGTTCTTCTCATGTCCAGAGAAATTTCAAGCTCCCTGATGCACCTTTTGATAAAAATTAAGTCCTCTTTACAAGTTCATTGTTGTTGGTGTCCCAGGTCACTACGGCACATCCCTCCATGTTTGGGACTGGACCACCCACAGGAAGCTTCAGACGCTCGATCTGGGTGAGGAGGGTGCCATTCCCCTCGAGGTTCGATTCCTGCATGACCCCAATGCCGCTGAGGGCTACGTGGGATGTGCTCTGGCTGGAACAGTCTTCAGATTCTACAAAACACCAGTCAGTACCACGGGGTTCTAGATCAACAAACAAAACTAGTCAGGAAACCAGACAGTAAGGCCCTCCTATTTTATCCAGAACAATAAGGTGATGTGGCTCTTTAAAGGACACCACATTGGTCCAGTCTCAAACATCTCAGCAACTTTTGGAAGGATTGTGATGAAATGTGGTTCAGGCCTTCATGTTCCCCTCAGGATGAACTATAATAATGTTTCCTCTAGCGCCATCATCAGGTCAACATGTTAATGTGTCCAACGCTTTGCTTTATGCCCTAAAACCTGCAGAACTGTCGACATTCCCATCAGCCTCAGTTCAATTTTATTTATATAGCGCCAAATCACAACAACAGTTATCTCACAGCGCTTTTCATAAAGAGCAGGTCTAGACCGAACTCTGTGATGCTATTTACAGAAGCCCAACAGTTCCCACCAAGAGCAGCACTAGGAGACAGCTGTGTTTACTGCCAACAAGCTCATGTTAGCACGCTAACGTGCAAAACTAAGATGGTAAACATATTACATGCTTAATGGTAACATGTTTGCATTGTCATTGAGAGCACGTTAGCATGCTGATGTTAGCATGCTGATGTTAGCATTTAGCCTGCCGTGTCAGTACAGAGCTGCCAGGATGGCTGCAGACTCTCAGTCCGGTTTTTGTGTTTCTTCAGGAAGGTAACTGGGCTGCAGAGAAGGTGATCAGCGTTCCCAGTAAGAAGGTGGAGGGGTGGGCGCTGCCTGAGATGCCTGGTGAGTCTGTCTGTCTGGGTTCTTGTCTGACTGGTTGCTGTTCTTTCGGTCTGTCTGGGTTCTTGTCTGACTGGTTGCTGTTCTTTCGGTCTGTCTGGGTTCTTGTCTGACTGGTTGCTGTTCTTTCGGTCTGTCTGGGTTCTTGTCTGACTGGTTGCTGTTCTTTCGGTCTGTCTGGGTTCTTGCCTGACTGGTTGCCGGTCTGTCTTTCTGTCTGTCCATGCAGGTCTGATTACAGACATCCTGATCTCGTTGGACGACCGGTTTCTCTACTTCAGCAACTGGCTGCACGGTGATGTCAGACAGTATGACATCACAGACAGGAGGAACCCACGATTGGTCGGCCAGGTCTGAATGTTATCACACCTGACCAGTGAAGAACAAGTGCAAGCTCAGAGTGAGACAGCTAACCTGTCTGTCCGTTCCAGGTGTTTCTGGGAGGAAGCATCGTCAGTGACGGTCCGGTCAGAGTCCTGGAAGACCCGGAGAACCAGCCGCAGCCCCCACCACGCATCATCCAGGTGCCACAGACAGGAAGCTGAGAGACAGGAAGCAGTGAGACAGGAAGACAGGGAGGATGGGCCTGTCTTTCTAACTTCTTTCCTTTGGGGGTGTATTTATTAGGTTTTGGTGTCTGTCAGGGTTAGTCTTCTGTGTAAACAGGTTGAGGACCCAAACGCAGGACACTGAGCAGAGCGGGTTCAGTTCTATGATTTATTAACTCAAGGTGAGCACACTTAAAGCGGAGAGTCCAAAAAAATCATTAAAGAAGATCCAGGTACAGAACAGGTGACAGACAACAAGCTAGAACGATCCTTCAAGAACTAAGGGAACAAGCAAACCTATACAGAGCAACAGAGGGGGGGGGGCAGGGTGACTGAACCCAGGTGAGACCCAGGTGAGACCCAGGTGAGACCCATAGGACTAATCAGACTGAACAGGAAACAAGGCTAAACAAAGACACCAGACAGAAACAGGAAAACTACACAGAACCAAAGCCCTAACATCCTGTCTCTCTCTCTCTCTCTCCAACCATCTGTCTAACATCCTGTCTCTCTCTCTCTCTCTCTCTCTCTAACATCCTGTCTCTCTCTCTCTCTCTCTCTCTCTCTCTCTCTCTCTCTCTCTCTCTCTCTCTCTCTCTCTCTCTCTCTCTCTCTCTCTCTCTCTCTCTCTCTCAACCATCTAACATCCTGTCTCTCTCTCTCTCTCTCTCTCTCTCTCTCTCTCTCTCTCTCTCTCTCTCTCTCCAACCTCTAACATCCTGTCTCTCTCTCTCTCTCTCCAACCATCTGTCTAACATCCTGTCTCTCTCTCTCTCTCTCTCTCTCTCTCTCTCCCTCCAACCATCTGTCTAACATCCTGTCTCTCTCTCTCTCTCCCTCCAACCATCTAACATCCTGTCTCTCTCTCTCTCTCCAACCATCTGTCTAACATCCTGTCTCTCTCTCTCTCTCTCCCTCCAACCATCTAACATCCTGTCTCTCTCGCTCTCTCTCTCCAACCGTCTGTCTAACATCCTGTCTCTCTCTCTCTCTCTCTCCAACCGTCTGTCTAACATCCTGTCTCTCTCTCTCTCTCCAACGTCTGTCTAACATCCTGTCTCTCTCTCTCTTTCTCCTCCCGTCTAACATCCTGTCTCTCTCTCTCTCTCTCCACCTGTCTGTCTAACATCCTGTCTCTCTCTCTCTCTCTCCACCTGTCTGTCTAACATCCTCTCTCTCTCTCTCTCCACCTGTCTGTCTCTCAGGGGAGGCGTGTCCACGGAGCTCCTCAGATGTTACAGCTGAGTTTAGACGGTCGGAGACTTTATGTGACGACGTCTCTCTACAGCGGCTGGGACAAGCAGTTCTACCCCGACATGATCAAGTCAGTACTCCTGTACTGCAGTATTGTAGTACAGGAGTAGTGTCATATTATTGTCATATTATTGTACTACTGCAATATTGTGTAAACGGAGACTTGAAACCTCCCTAAATATATTCTGTCTGTCCATTATGTCATGACCTCTGTCCGTCTGTCCGTCTCTCTACCTGTCTGTCTGTGCAGAGCTGGTTCAGTGATGATGCAGATCGATGTGGACTCTGGTAGTGGAGGTCTCTCCCTGAATGAAACCTTCCTGGTGGATTTTGGTAAAGAACCCGACGGTCCGGTTCTGGCCCACGAGCTCAGATATCCTGGAGGAGACTGCACGTCTGACATCTGGCTGTAGAAACACCTGAAGCCGACAGAGGAGGGTCAGGAATAATAATCCAGAACATGAATGTAGTTAAAGATCAATAAACTCTGCTGTTCACTTTTTCTCAGCTGCTTCAGAACATGTTGAAACACGAGCTTCATGCGTCCTGCAGAACCCTGCTAATGGTCACCTTTAATCACAGGTTTACAGGTGACTTCCAGCTGACGCACACAGAACGCAGACACGATAAAAGTGCTGCATGTAAAACATAAAGAAACACAAGACAAAATGAACCCACATTCTAACTGGACTTAAAGGACTGAAATAAAATGGCAGCTAGAATAATGATGGAGACTAAAAATTAGAAGATCAATTCACTGATTAATACAACAGTGTGTTTTAAAGTCAACATGAACGCTCGACGTGAGGACGTTAGAAGCTTTTGGGACCGGTTTCACAAAGCTATTTTAGACTTTAAACTGAAGTTTGGACCAGAAAATTAGACCCCTCGGCTAACAGGTCTAAGATTCTGTGTTACCATGGTAACCACCAGTAACAACCAGTTACGTTACAAACAGCCAAATGAAAGAGAAAATGGCTCATAGTTTGCAGTTTGCTGAGGATATTATGGAGAGAGCTCTGAGAAGGGAAAGAGCTTTTAGGGACCGCAGTAACCTTCTAGAAATATACAACAATGAGGACGTTTCAGCGGTCGTTTTCTTTTACCCAACGCAGCTCTCCTGAGTCTGACAGATGAATTAGCTGAAGCACTGAGCTTGTACCATATTCTTGGATTTTTTCTGTATATCTTTGACGCTCCCCTCAATGATCAGGTTAATGCTGTTTACTGTCTTCGCAATTCTTTTCCAAATCAAGTATTTAGTTTGTTACTACACTCCGCTAAATGTTCCAAGTAAAATGTCCTTATATCTATTATACTGCTTCCACAAACACATTATTTCTGCTGGGGTGCGCTGCACTGAGCGGTTGGATGCCCCTACTCAATCCGCCATATGTTTTTAAAAGTGTCTTATTTTACCCAGAATTCATTGCAGTGTAGTCCTACTTAAGATACTCAGTGTCTTCAGTGCTTTGTGCAACAGTCTGATTTAGATGTCTATCTTAAGTCTGACTCTCTTCTACATCTAAGCCATAGTCAAAGTCTATCTTTGTGAAACCGGACCCTGGTCTGCAGAGTTCTGAAACGCTGATGTCTGCTGGTGGAGGTTCCAGATCTGTGTGGTGTGACGTCACCAGCAGGCGCAGGACCTGATCAGATCTGGTACCTACACCGGCGCTGCATCGCGGTGATCCTCTGTACATATTTGTGATTAAACATTTCAATTCTTTGTGAAAGAAATAAAACTGTTGAAACAAAACAACCTGAACTAAAAACATCCATCACACATCAGAACACTTACTATCAAATGATCAATCATCTAGTGTCATTATTAATCATTTCATGTCATCTTATTAATGTTGTGGCTTGTTAAGTGTGCTTTGCCTTCAGAAAACCAACCGGCCAATCAGATTTCAGCCTGAGCCTCAGGTTTCTGTCTCCTGCAGCGCCTCCTGCTGGTCAAACTGTGCCCATTAGATGTTTAAATAAAGTTGTGTTTGAACTATCATCTGTCTGATTCTTTCACCTGCAGATTAAAATCTTTACATTTTTCATTTAACGCCACTAAAAGACATCATTTGTTCACATTAAATATGTTAGTGGGTCTTTCCAGCTTGGGCGGTGAAACCCCTACAGATGGTTCAGATTACTCACATTACTCAGTGACCTCCACTGGCTCCCCGGTGCCTCCAGAATCAATTTCAAGTCGCTAATGCTGCATTAAAGAGTGACTACTGGGTCTGCACCATCTACCTAAACTATTAGTCAACTCTTAAATCTGATGCCGTACATGCTGTTAGCTCTTACTAGTGTTTATTGTCACGTGTAGATCTCTCACTGTGTTGATGCTGAATGTTGCTGCTCAATTCAGCATCAACACAGTCACAAAGCGACTGCCTACACGTAATGTATGTATTTGATTCTTTCTTGTAAATTCATGTCAACTAACTCCCAAATGTTCATTCATGTCTTTTACATTACATTTACTTTTTTTTTTATCCAAAGCGACTTACAATTGCTATACATGTCAGAGGTCGCACGCCTCTGGAGCAACGAGGGGTTAAGTGTCTTGCTCAGGGACACGTTGGTGTCTCAGTTGATTCGAACCCGGGTCTCTCACACAAAGGCATGTGTCTTATCCACTACGCCATCACCACCATTTTATTTTTATTTATTCTCATATTGTTCTCTGACAAACTCCTTGAAAATGAGACGATGCTTTTAAGGGAGTTCATCCTTCAAATTAATCAAATAAATACATAAATGAAACAACAGAGAGAACTGCTGATGAAGATCATGAGATGCAGCTGAAAGTCAGGAAACGGTGCTCAAGTTTTTGTTCTTTTGTATTTTAGCAGCTGTTTCCACTTTCATCGATCCACTGGTAATGTTGTGACCCGGCTCCAGATAAGAACATGTGAGAGTTTAACTAAAGAGGAACTTAATTTAATAGAGATTCATTTAGTTTCACAAAAATGTCGATTCTAACAAATGAGTCTGATACAGAAACAAAGAGGGATCCTCCAGCAGACAGCAGCCAGCTCCCTCCGGTCCTCACGGCCTCCAGCTCTGACCAAACAGGAACCTACAACAACACACACCCCGGGGCCATCGCATGTTACAGAGCTCTTTACTGTGTGTTTCTGGAGAACTTTAAAGAGGAAACTTACCTCACTGATACTTTACTAAAGTAAAGGTAGAAATACCAGAGAGTAGAAATATTCCATCACAAGTAAAATGCCTTGCATTCATGATGTTACTTCAGTAGAAAAGAGTAACACATTTAACCCCTCGTTGCTCCAGAGGCGTGCGACCTCTGACATGGATAGCAATTGTAAGTCACTTCGGATAAAAGAGTCAGCTAAATGAATAAATGTAAATGTAGAAGTACAGAAGTATCAAGAGTAAAACTACTCTGTATTCTGTAGAACAACTGTTATATCACTCATATTTATATACCTGGATTGTTATTATTAATTATTAACTTGTGAACAGAATGTTAATGATGAAGCTGTGCCGCTGACGCAGCTGGATGGTGGGTAGTATAATACTATCTTAGTGCAGCCATGTCGTAAAACTTTTCTGTTCATCAGATAGGAAACAATCTTTAGCTCACCAAGAGCGTCAAACATTTAAACATATAAAACACAAGTAAGCATTTAAATAAAATACTTTCTTTTTTAAATACTGATTTGTACTTGGAATAAAAAAGTTACAGTGACAGCCTTCAGATAAATATGCTGGCTTTTAATCTCGCGGGAGAGCTGTGGGGTCTTTTGTTGTTGCATTTGAATTGTTCCTGAACCACTGGTTTGTGTGTTGTCTATGTTTTTATGCATTCTCTTTCCATATGTTTGTTTTATTCCTTATGCAGCACTTTGTAAACCTTGTTTTTAAAATGTGGCAGTAGTTTACATGTGCACTACATCAGAAAATATAATTCAACTAGTAGCATTAGCTATATGCTGTAAAATATAAACTGTAGTTGAGTGAGTATAACTGTGACTCCTCTCCGGTCCAGCAGGCGGCAGCACTGCTACTGAACCCGACAGGAAACAGCAGAAGAAGAAGAAGGAGAGCGCGCCCCCTGCTGGACGTTAGCGGTGCTGACATGAAGACCAGAGAGGATCAATGGAGTCAGACTGGAAATAAAACATCATTTCAAGCCTCTGAACTGTAGCCAGGTAAGACCGACTCACCTGTAAACACGCAGACACGCCACTGGACCAGAAGAACTAACCTGTGACTGCGACGGAGCTAACGTTAGCTTAGCATACAGCTTTAAAAACAGCTGAGCGGAGTTAGCAACAGTTGGCCTGATAGCTGCCGGCTAATGCTAATGCTAACATGAACCGTGTTAATGTCTGTTAAATGACCGAGCTAAGGTTTCATTTAGCTTGTAGCTAGTTAGCTTCCGAGTGTTCATTTGACTGACAGGACGATGCTAATGTTTAGTTAGCTGATTAACGGTAACTGCGCCTCAGCTAACAGCTACAGTAAGCTAACGCTCTGTTATTACCTGCTCTTTAAACTGGGAGCTAACGCTGCTAGCATTAAATACAGAGCTAATAAAAGCTCGTGAGCTTGTTTATTTTCTGTCTCTGTCTCCTCCAACCTGCGTTAGCTTTGTGCTAAGCTAGGCTAACATCAGCTGACTCTCGGTCGCATGTTTAAACCCAGCAGCAACACGAAGGACCCGCAGGAACCGGTTTAGTTTAAGTCCCAGGGACCCGATCAGCTGTTCATCTACAGGTCGTCACAGCGCGTGCAGGTGACTGTTCCTCCAGTGCAGCTGCAGTTTAGCTCCAAACTCTAATATGAAGCAGTTCGACACATCAGATCCTCCACAGTCCACATCCAGGACCAGATCCAGTCTGTAATTAAACACATTCAAATGATGGAACTTTAAATTGGTGTTGTGTGTAAAGATAAAACTGACTGAGGCCATCAGTCACACTTAAATAACCTTTATTGTTGTTTATACACAGAGAGAAACGTCATCATCTGGCTTACAGTGCAGATTAAAGACAATAATTATAACTTGATAAAATGATCTCTCTAAAACAACATTCAATCACATTAGTACATTTAAGAGGAAGCAGCCAAACTCTGAGTGACCGATAAGATAAAAAGGCTTCACAGTTCAGTCAAAGCAAACCTGTCATAAATCATAGTTTATACTGTAAAGCGCTGTGAGACCGTTAATGTTTCTGTGTTTACGTCCCTCTGAAATCTGTGGTCTGTAATCTGCTCAGCGGGATTACAGACTGTCATGGAGGTCAGTGTCAACAACACACACTCGACATGTATCAGCAGACGCGTCTCTGTTATGGCTTCGTGTGGTTTATAACGTTTGTTCAGCTCCGGCTGTCGTCCACAGTGACTTTAAATCTGTCGGCTGTGTGGCTACAAGACAGAAATTACAGGAAGCATCAAATATACTCAACTGTTAAACATATATATATATATATATATATATATATATATATATATATATATATATATATATATATATATATATGTATGTGTGTGTGTATAAAGTGAGTACACCCCTCACATTTTTGTCAATATTTGATTATATCTTTTTGTGACTGGTTAGCTTAGTTGGTAACGCACCGGACTCGTAATCCAAGGGCTGCATGTTTGACTCCTTCTCTCGTCAGTTTTGGGTTTGGTGATGGCCCAGTGGATAAGACACATGCCTTTGGTGTGATAGACCCGGGTTCAATCTCCCACTGTGACCCTGAGCAGACGCTTAACCCCTCGTTGCTCTAGAGGCGTGCGACCTCTGACATGTACAGCAGCTGTAAGTCGCTTTGGATAAAAGCGTCGACTAAATGAAGAAGTGTAATGTTATGTAATCTTTTCATGTCACCACACTGAAGACATTTTCATTTAGGGGTGTCCTCACTTTTGTTGCCAGCGGTTTAGACATTAATGGCTGTGTGATGTGTTATTTTGAGGGGACAGCAGATTTACACTGTTGTACAAGCTGCACGCTCGCTACTTTACGCTGTTGTACAAGCTGCACGCTCGCTACTTTACGCTGTTCTACAAGCTGCACGCTCACTACTTTACGCTGTTATACAAGCTGCACGCTCACTACTTTACGCTGTTATACAAGCTGTACGCTCGCTACTTTACGCTGTTGTACAAGCTGCACGCTCGCTACTTTACACTGTTATACAAGCTGTACGCTCACTACTTTACACTGTTATACAAGCTGTACGCTCACTGCTTTACGCTGTTGTACAAGCTGCACGCTCACTACTTTACACTGTTGTACAATCTGCACGCTCGCTACTTTACGCTGTTGTACAAGCTGCACGCTCACTACTTTACACTGTTGTACAATCTGCACGCTCGCTACTTTACGCTGTTGTACAAGCTGCACGCTCGCTACTTTACACTGTTATACAAGCTGTACGCTCACTACTTTACGCTGTTGTACAAGCTGCACGCTCACTACTTTACACTGTTGTACAATCTGCACGCTCGCTACTTTACGCTGTTGTACAAGCTGCACGCTCACTACTTTACACTGTTGTACAATCTGCACGCTCACTACTTTACGCTGTTGTACAAGCTGCACGCTCACTACTTTACGCTGTTGTACAAGCTGCACGCTCACTACTTTACACTGTTGTACAATCTGCACGCTCGCTACTTTACACTGTTGTACAATCTGCACGCTCACTACTTTACGCTGTTGTACAAGCTGCACGCTCGCTACTTTACGCTGTTCTACAATCTGCACACTCGCTACTTTACGCTGTTGTACAAGCTGCACGCTCGCTACTTTACACTGTTGTACAATCTGCACGCTCGCTACTTTACGCTGTTGTACAAGCTGCACGCTCGCTACTTTACGCTGTTCTACAAGCTGTACGCTCGCTACTTTACGCTGTTGTACAAGCTGCACGCTCGCTACTTTACGCTGTTGTACAAGCTGCACGCTCGCTACTTTACACTGTTGTACAATCTGCACGCTCGCTACTTTACGCTGTT